CTTTAACCCCTCTGCTACCAGGGAGCCCTCCCCAAGCATTTTTAAATTGTAGAATTTTTCTTTTTTTAATATAGTAATTGCAAAACATCTGGACACCCCTGCTGTGCAGGGAAATTGTATCTGTTCTACCACACCCACCCTAAATCCATCTCAAACATTAATCATAATATTTTTAGATTGCACCAGAGCAGGAAGAAAGCAAACTAGAGAACCTCCACGAAACTTGACAAGCATGAACAAAAAAATCCTACATCAAGATAATTTTTCTAGATCTAACTGGCAAGCAAGACATTTATAATTCACCAGAACTAGAGATCACCTGCTCAAGAACTGTGTAGTCAATAAAGGGCAGAATTCTGGAAGTGACAGCCACAGTGTCTAGTCAATCGAACAAGCGCGCACTTCACTTTGGAACTGCGCATCTCCGTCACACCAGCAGGAGTCACCCATGGTACTTCCTGTCTGGAGTGCCAGTTGCCTCTATTTCCTTGCCTCTGGCACTTGGTGTCCCTAACGCTGACTGTCTATTTTTGGGTTTCTCTGCTTTGTCTTAAAAGCCTGGCTTCCTGGCTTCCCAGGTCAGTCATTCCTGAGCCTTTACCAGGGTCAGTCCTTTCTACAGGCCCCAAGTCCTCCCTAGCAGGTCGGCTGATAGCACCTATTAAAAAATCACTGGTCATTGACTGTGTAAGGGATTGTGGGGAAGAAAGAAAGGTTTGTTTGTTATGAATTCTGAACCTGTTGGAAGCAGGAAGTGATTAGGATTAATCAATTTCTTTCCCAGAGAGAAGCATATGTAGCAGTAGAGTTCTCGTGGGCCTGCACTGGTAATAACTCTTGTAAATGATCTGAAGGAAGGTGTGAAAAATGACACAACAAACTATAAGAGGTACACAAATGACAAAGAATAAATAGTATGTAATCTCACAAACCTGAATGAATGGGCATGAAATTGCTGTTGAGCATGGTGGGAGGCAGTGCGGCCAGGCAGGTGAGGTGCTGGTGAACCTGGTGACAGGCGGGAACTTGGCAGAGGATCAGGATTTGGGAGGGTCAGGAAGGGGTGGTGTTAGCAGATAAAGATAGTGGAGTTGGGAGTCAGGTAAACATGAAGATCCGGCCAGGGATGCCCCTGGCACTAGGGGCAGCAAGCAAGGAGGCCTTAGCCCTGGGGCAGAGCCTTGGCTACAGGGCCTGGTCCCAGCGGCACTGGGCAGAGTGAGGAAGATCCTGGCGTTTTTTTTAAATCTATTATAAACCTGCACATGATAAAAAATAAAACATCTAGAGGTGCTTGTAACATATAACAAGTCTCCCTTCACACCCATAACCATCTCAAACTTCCCTTCTTAGGGGGAACCGCTTTTAATCACTTTTACTTTATACTACTTTGAGAGCTAACACATATCACAAAGTATATTAGTATATTAGCGTATATTACTAGCTCTGTTAATCAAAGTCAGACATAATTCATTGATTCTGTACAGAGAAACAAAGAGGTTAGTGTACTTACATGGTTCTCCAGTCACTTTCCAAATTTTTATAGTTATATTTTTATTTTTAGTTCTATTTTCTCTACCTTTATAATATTAAATAATAGATTTAAAACTCATTTTAATCAATTCTGTGTTGTATCTTTTAACTCCTTGTTCATGGGGAAACTGAGATTCTGTGTGTATTTTAATATTAATGTAGTAGAGTCATATATATGTATAAAATATTTTTATAAGGTATATATTATTTTAAGGGAATCCCTGATTTTAAGGGCCCTCACATAATACTTTTATTTTATTTTATTTTATTTTAAGATTTATTTATTTATTTATTTATGCAAGCACTGGGTACAGTCAGAAGCGTGGGAGGGTGAGAGAATTCACCAGAGCCAGAGCAAACTGATTGTTAGTATGTAAGTGGACAACAACCCATGGAAACTATTTACAATTTTAAATAATAAACACAGCACACTGAAATTATTTTTGTCTTAAGGTTACAAACAACAGTCTTTGTAACTTCAAAGACAAGTTGCTCAATATTCTTGGCAATTTCTTTCTTCTTCTTAGGAGAGGCTTAGAAACTCTTATAATGGCAAGATACAGAACAGGTATAGAATTAACTTAAAATTTATTGCAACGATAACAAACCTTAGAAATCTGACTGTAGAACTGAAACTACCAGAGGGGGATGGTAGAGACCAAGAGGAGGGGGGCCAGATGAGGGGGGACTGTGGTGGAGAACTGTGGGTGCCTTGGCAGTGAATAAAGAGGTGTGATCTGAAGGGGTATGATCGTGTAACTCTGAATCACATGCAACTTTGTAAGCCAATGTTATCTCAGTAAAAACACAATATAAAATAAAATTTATAACACTTTCCTTACCTACCTAACATACTGAATGACTAGCTCACCTTTCAGTTAAACTAATTGCAGATTGCAAAGTTCAAGCCAAGCCTGAGTAAAAGATTACGCGACTCATATTTTGTTTTCCACACTGTTATCATGAAAATATCGATGCGTTTTCTTTCCCTTTCCTATGCTTCTCTTCCCACTCTTCTCCTCCTAATGTTGGTTAGCTACAGTTTTACTTTTATTGTCCAGGTAGTTAATATTTGTATTCTATTTTGGAACTATAGTCATGTCCTCTGTGTTTATCTAACTGTCAATTTTAGAAGTTAAAAAACAATAAACATGTACACTGTATGACTGTGTAGTTGTTCACTGAAGAGCAATGTATTGATAGTTGGCTAGAATTTCGTTCCTTGGCTGTGATTCTGATGTGCTCCCTGTGCCATTTAGGGGAGATACTCCTCATATTATGGTCAAATGAATTCATTTTTTTTTACATTTCATTAGTTGTTTAAAATCATGTCACATTATAGTTTGCTTCATATTTAGACATCTCTTACTTTTTTCAGAGTGTCAATAATCTTTTTTCTTGTCAAAATATGCAGTCAGCATATGCTTAAAATGTCCTAGCTTGCTACTCATAATCCATTTCCTATCAAGAGGCCTCCCTCTCAGAGCCTCCATCCTTCTGCTTCAGGCCCTGCTGCAGAACTGTTCCTCTTTTACACTGCTTTCTGAATCCCTTGCTTTCCTCCTCAATGGTTTGTATCTTCATTTTGCCCGAGTACATGCTTCAGCACCTTCCTCAGAAATAATACATAAAGTAAATTTTCTGAGCCCTGTCTGCTTAGCTTTATTTTCACTTAACTGGCTTACAAGTTTGTATCCATTTCCCAGATTTATCCTTTTAATAGGCTCTTGGGGGAGTTGGGGAGATGAGAGTTAAGAAAATGTACCTAGCATGCCATTTTAAACAAAATATCTTTTAAAAATCACTTCACTTATGATGTAATTTTACTTCAAAATGATCTCTGTAAAAAATTGAGAAAATATAGATATATAATCAAATGAAAAATGATCTTTTCTTCCATCATCAAGAAATAACACTAACATTTTAAGATATGTTCTAATCCCTTTTTCTGTGCATTTACCTTTTTTAAAAGAACAATGGGATCATACCATATGGTCTGTTTTCTAATATACCTCTGAAACTAAACACTAACTTTTACATATCTTTCCATATCACAGCTTATTCTAACAATATTAGAGACCTTGTATTTATTAAAAGATGTATCATCTCAAATTTAGTCAATCCTCTATTTTTAGACATTAAGTTGTTAATAATTTTCACTATTATAAATAAGCATTTATAAACACTTTTTGGCTAACTCTTCCTCATGTCCCTAACTATTGACTTACAGGATAAACTCCTGGTAGTGGAATCGTCGTGTCAAGGTGCATGGAGGTGGCTTTCTTGGTTCAACATTCAGGGTGCTCTTTGAAATAGCTGCACTCCACGTTTCTGGCCCCAAACTTTTGCTTCACTCCACTTGAGCTCACTGAAGCATTATAGCAGAAGTCTTAAGAGCATGATTTTTGAAGTGAGATGCAGACTAGGATTGAATCCTAGCTTTGCCACTTGCTGAATGTGTAACCTCAGGCTGCTTTAATTTACCTCTTTGAGCACTAGTTTCTTTTATGGTGGTGAGGTAATTTTACTTTTCTGATGTGGTCATTATGAGGATTAAACAAGATAAAAAAAAAAGCATGTAAAGCACTTAGCACAGGCCCTGTCAGATTGAAAGTTCCAAAATCCACAATGATGGTGTTAGAGCCATCTCTCTCCTAAGCTGTGCAAATCTTCCTTCAAGGCCACATTTGAGAAGCACCCGCCCCTCTGTGAGCCATCCCTGGCCAGGACTGGGTCCAAGAGCACTTGTAAACTGGACCCACAGTGGGTTCCCAACACATCACATCGTCATGTTGCTTTTCTCTGTGTGTGTTTGGAAATAGTCCCTTCCTCAGCACCACATACTTTGTTCTATCCACCAGCACTAATTACTTTTCCTAAGTGTTCTTGGGGAATAGCGGTGATGAAGAGGAAAGTGTGACTCAGTATTGGTAACATCCGGTTCAGTTTTGTTTGTTTGTTTGTTTAATTTGTTTAGAGCCCTGTGGCAGGTCAGGAGCTTTGAACATGGTCTCTGGTTCTGACTATTGGCTGGGAACTGCCCCCCCTGGACACCTGAATCCCAGGGTAGTCAGTGGACAGCAGAGACAAGGAATCAGCTGAGCAGGCCATGGAGGGCACATTGCTGAGGCCCAGTCTCTCCCGGTGCCGTCTGGAGGGAAGGCAGAACTCAGCCTGTGGCATGGAGACCTTTGTGTGTCCTGTCAGACACCTCCCTCACCCCCACTACTTTGCCCTGGGCCATAAGATGCTTTTGTAGTAGGCCTTTCCTCCCCAGTGTCACCCAACCGACAAAGATTTCTTTCACAGCCTGCAGATGCCTCCCCAGTTGCCAGGGGAGATTGAGAAGCAGTTGACGCTGCAGATGGGAGGGCCTGCTGCGGGGCGGCTTCCAGGAGAGGGGCCCAGGAGGGGAAGGTGGTTCAGGGGGTAGGCTGCTCACCCCTCTCTGTCTGGGTGTCTTTCAGGAGTCATGGCCGGTTTCAACATGGGGGGTGACCTCAGGGAGCCTGCTGCCAGCATCCCCCTGGGCTCCCTAGCAGCTGTTGGCATCTCGTAAGTTCCCCTCCTGGCAATCAGCTGGAGAGAGAGAAAACTCTGGTGAAAGAGGGAACTGCCCCTTTTGTTCTGAGCGTGCCCTGACTGTGACCAATCTATTTCATATTCCAATCCTCCTTTTAACACTCAGCCAGCTGGAAAATTCACGTCTGGTGGGTTCAGATGATTGCCCTTCCATACCCCCTGCCTGGGAATGTAGCCTAGTTGCAGAGGAGCGCCATTAAGGAAGATGAATCCTTTCTTTCCTCTTTCCTCAGCCTCCTGCTCCTCCCCTCCCCCACAGGCATTTGGAACCTGGGTATTTTTTAACTATTGAGTTTCCAGGACCATTGTCGGGAACATAAAGACCAAAAATTTGTAATCAAACAAATCAGAATTTGCATTCCAGCCCAGCCTCTGATTGTCTCTCTGAACCTCCATTTCCTTTTCTGTAAAATGGGCATAATGAGAATACATGGGTCTCATGGATTGTGGAGGAGACTGTGTAAGGCACATAGTAGGGACTCAGAGCCGCCCTCCCCTCTGCCAACCCAAGGCTATCAGGCTTCCTGGGTTTTAATTCACAACGTGCCACCCACACTAGCAGGCAGGGAGCTCTTGGTCTGTTTCTGACCTTCTACCATGAACAGAATCTTCTCTGCCATCATTTGATAGTTGTTGAAATCATAATCTTGATTTCTGAGCCATGACCATGACTTGAGACAATAAAAGTGCCTGTATTATTTTAACCATGTCATATAAAAAATATCTTGCTTTTTGCTTATTGTAATGGCACCAGTGTTTTTAGTCAGGCACAAAGCACCAGTTTATTTGGTCCTAAAAAGGGTAAATTTTCTTCCCACAGGGGAGAAAATGAAGACCACGGAAAGGGAGGTGTTGGGAAGGAAAGAAAGGAAAGACCACTGTCTCATTTTGGTTGTGACTGAGAGGTCCCGGAAGAACCTTTGGCCCATTCTCTCACTGCCCAGATGGGAATGAGGCCACAGAGGTCATGTGACTTGTTCAAGGTCATAGGGCATTTGGGGGTAGAGCCAGGTCACTGCTGGCCTTTTCACACTTGGCCTAGCTCTCTATCATCTGAGATCCAGGGAACAGCAGGACTTAAAGGCCCAGAAGATCATCAACTTGTTCCTCTGCAGATAATGGGCAGTGGTGCTGCTGGTCAACCGTGGCCTGAAACCTGGCAACAAGGCCAGCTGGGCCTCTCCGCCCCACCCCCAAGATTCTTTGTTTTCTTCTTTAATGTAAGAAAGACACAAAACAATGATACTTTGTGGGGGAGGGAAGAAATCTGCCAGCAGAGAAGTAGTACTGGAGGTGCCCCGTAGATGAGCTGGTGATGTGTCCGGCTGGCCTTTCTCTTTCCTTTTGAGACAAGTCCCAGTGGGAATCCAAAGGCCGCTGGGGTGGGTTGGGAGGGGTTGCTGAGATCAGATGGCAGCCCCACTCTGCTCTTGGGTGTTTTGCAGGTGGTTTCTATACATTGTCTTTGTCTTCCTGCTTGGTGCCATCTGTACCCGAGAGGCCCTTCGCTATGACTTCATGATAGCTGAGAAGGTGGGTAAGTCCTGTGCTGCCTGGAGGGCTCAGTCTGCTGTGTTATTTGTTCCAATCAACAAATGGCTGCTTCTGCCTTGCAGCCCTCCCTGGGACTTCATATGGTCTTGGGTCCAGGACTGAAGTTTGGGGCCTCAGGTGGGGAGAGGGTTTTAGAAAGATGCATAGGTTTTTCTTATAGATGCCTAACAACAGGTAACAGTGCCTGGAAAGGCACATGACTAAATGATGGAGACACAACCATCTTTTCATGTCAAGAATTAGGATGGAAACAAAGAATCTGGTCCCCCGAAGTCCCCAGCTTAACAAGCCCTACATTTTTGCCATTGCAAAATGCTGAAGGTGTGCTCACAAGAAGGAAGGAGACTGATGAGTGGAAGAGACAGCAAGGGGGGAACAAGGGCCTGAAGGAGGCAGGGTGGGAGACCCGCCTTGTCTTCTGAGCCTCCTGCTTCTCCCCATGGGATGGCCTGGGTTAATTTGGCTGTAATATCTTTGTTTCCAGAACCATACACACTACCTTGGAGAAGGTGAGAAATTCCTCACATTCCTCCACTGCCCTTAATAGACTGGAGTCACCTGATAGTCAAGGACATTCTGTTGGCATCTCTAGAACTCAGGAGAGTAAGATTTCCAGCTGCTTTTCTGGAACAGCTCCTAACTTCTCTTAAGTTCCTGTAGAAAAAGTGGGCCCTAGGAGTCTTACTATTTATCAGAGAAATGTAGTAGGGTAGGTTGTTTTCCTTTCTTAGTTAGCACCTGAGGCTCACTGCTCATATCTTAGGAGAATATTCCATTTTCCGTTGGTGTGAGCTTTTGCCAAAGTAGCTTTGCTGAACTGCACAAAAGGCCTCTGCGTGGGGCAATCTGGCGTAGGAAATTTGGAACTTACTTTTTATGGCTACATTTGGGCTTGGACTTGGCACAGGCTTCTTGTATATTGTGTAGACAATGATGTTAAAGTGATGTTTGTTTTCAGGGGCCTTGACTTTACTATGAAATAGGTTTTGAAAGTGGGAGCAGTTCAGGTAGTAGAGGCACAGGACCACCAAGGTCTCCGATCCCTGTGAGCAAGGCTTGTTCTCAGGGGAGGACTCTGTGGCCCTCATTTATAACTACATGCATTGCTTCCCTCTTGAATTTCAGCTCCCAGGGGCCCTTCTCTAATTGTGGAAAGAAAGGCTTGACAGCATTAGAGGAATTAAAGGCCTTAGGGAACAGCTGATCCTTTGACCAGGGGAGCTGCCTGATGCTGTCTGCAACTTGCCAGTGGCCCGCCAGCTCTGTCTGCTTCTAAAGCTGGTTCCTTTCTAGTGGATTCTCTCAAAGAGGGCCTTTCAACCATTAGGAATTCTGATCTGGATGGAATGAGGCAAAGTCTCCCCTGGTGGGGCTCTGCTCTCCCCTCCTCCCCAGCTTTGCAGAGGGAACTAAGAATGGGTGTGTGGGAAGGCAGGCAGCCTGTATCCAAGGAAGGCCACAGCAGCGAGAGAGTAAAAGCATCTCCAGGCACAGCTCAGGAGAGCTTTGTGGGTGGAAATCCCACTGCTAATAATAGACACGTGACAGGGAAGTGCGTTTGGAATGCCACCTGTCCCAGATGGGGAAACGGTAGGCAAGCACTTAGCAGTTTGGAGGCACCTGCTAAACCATGCCTGGGAATAATATATGGGGATGTAATTATACAGTTAGGTTTTGGAGAGGACAAGAGACTGTTTCCTGGAAGAGGTAGTCATAAAACCCATAAAGAAAGGAAAGCTATTTTTCATGGTTCTTAGTAGCAAATCGGGACTGACTGATGCAGCAACTAAGTGAGAGGTGACAGAACCAACCAGGGCAAGTCCAAAATAGTAGGACCCTGGTGTGCTGCTAGCCCCATCCTACCCCACCTCTCAACCCCACACTGGGGACTATGCAGGATTCCCTCGCCCTCCCCCAAAGCCTTGAGCCCTAGCTTCTTTCCTTTCCTGTCCTCTAGCTTCCCTCTTTGGGACAGATGGGGCAGTAAGTTGGGTCATAAACAATTGACTAACAGTGCCCAGAGGATGGGGGTGGGGGGTGCAGTGAGTAGGGGCAATCTCCTTTACCTGGTCGCCTGACACAACCTGACACCTTGATGTGATTTTACTAAACTGTTCCTGTCAGCTTCATGTCTTAGCTGTGACCTGGGTTCTGAGCCAACCCATCTTGGAGCTTTCTGGGTTGGCAGAAAAAAAGTCTCTGGTTTGGTCTGAGTGTCCTGAGGATCTCAACCTGAGACACAGACCAGACCAGGCCACTAGCACACTCCCCTTGGTGCTCCTTGAGGCTCACAAAACTCCTCAACACACTTCCCATCTTTTGCTCTGATGCTTTTGGTCAGAAGGATTCTCTTTAATGGCTGCTGACTGTCCTGGATTTCTTTTTACTGATCTGCATCTGACATGTTAGCCAACTTGGGGAGTGAGGGCAGTATTAGAAAATTTATGTCTGTGGCAATATAATATGTGAGAAAACTAGAAGACTGTTGAGACATTGCTGTGTTCATATACTTAGGATTTTAAGGGTTTGGGGGTATATGCTTCAGTAATATCAAGGGAGCACAGGGACTAGAGAGACAGAAAGAGCACCTCGCAAGTAACTTTGTATCCAGTTCTTCAAGCAAATTAATGGGATCTCTCAATACAAGTTGAAATGGGAACTTGTAAAAAAATATCATGAGCAGGACCTCATTGGTGGCGCAAGGGGTTAAATCTCAGCAGTATGTAGGTATCCGCAGCCACTGCAGCACAAGTTCCATCCCTGGCTACAGAGCTAACTCACATGGCGCAGCAGACCTCACCTGTCTCGCCCACTACTCCCCTCAGCAGTGTTTTTCAGTGGATCCACCTCTTCTGCTCCCCACTTTGTCTCTGGTGAATCCTCACACCCCCCAGACCTCTGGCCTGTACCCCAGCTCTTGTATGCATAAATAAATTAAAAAATATTAAAAAAATATCATGAGCAAAGAGATGTAATTTGTGATTTTTTTTTAAAATCAGTGGTTACTAAAGAAAAAACCAGGGTTATTCACACCCCAGATAATATTTTAGAAAGAGCTTTTTGTGCTGGCTCAAACAGGTGTACGACAGAAAGATACTCTTTTCTCCAAAAGAACTGTTGACACACATCTGCTCAAATAAATTCTCACTTTCCCCTCCACTGGCACAGTTAGTGAGTTTACAGCCAAACTGTTACAGAGAAAATGATTAAATTTTGCAAGAGTTGAAGCAAACCTAGCAGTTTACCATTCTACCAATAAAGCCTTGCCCTGCCCCTAGCCTTGTGCCAGGTTTACAGCCTGTCCTTATGAGATGCTCCCTACGCAGATGGAGAGATAACAGAAGGGAGAGACAGGATGCAGGTGGGAGAAAATAGAAAATGGAGTTTTTGTAATTTATGCAAACATGAGAAGCAGCATTTCATTTATTTTTCCGAACATGGAACAAGTTTGATGTAAGAGAGAGTCAAGTGAACGGGCAATTGTATTCCCTGTAGATTCAGATGAGGTCTGATTTGGGAGGGGGCGTGGATTCCTGATGGGAAGCTTGCGCCATAGCAGCACGTCAGCAGCACTGACCCTCAGCAAGTTGATGCCGAGCCGAACAACTATGCCTTCTCTTCCTCTATCTGCTGTGCTTGTGGGCTGCATGCATCATGGATCTCATTCATTCATTCCACATTTATTTATATAGCTATGTTGGCACCAATTATGAACAAGACAGGAGGCCTGTGGAATAAAGCCTCCAGATTTGTAGAAGAAACTGTGTCATAGGTGTTCCCCAGCCTTACCCTGAGGGGCCACGAAACCCTGAGAGCATCCTCTGTTATGAGGGAGATTGGGGATTGCCTCATGGAAGAGGGAAGGTTTGTGTTGAATCTTGAAACACAAATGTGACTTTTATTATTATTACAATTGTGACTTTAACAGACAGGTAATAAGTAGACTAGAGGTGTGGACAGAGGGTTCTAGCAGACAGAGAGATCATGCTGACAGACTATGGGATGGGATACAAAGGCCACAGACCAGGGAGGGCCTCATATGCTAGGGCTGTGGGGAACTCCTGCAAGAGGGACTTTATGCTCAGATTTGAGCTCAGAGAGGTCACTGTGGTGGAGGCTGGTGGAGGATTCAGACTGGGCAGAATTTGGAGGCAGGAGACCAGTTAGCATTGTAGTTGGCCAGTGTTTTTCAAGGACCATCAGCAGCAGCATCACTTTGGGAATTTGGCAATCCAAGTCTTGGGCCTTCCCTCAGACCTACTGAATCTGCACCTCTTGAGGTGGGACCCAGAAATCTGTCTTTTATGAGCCCCCTAGATGAGTCTGATGCATGATATCCACTATGTAGTCCATACAAGATGTGGTGATGGCCACACTGAAGCAGGTGCAATGGAATGAGTTGGCAGGGCTCAGTGGGGATATTGAAAATGTACCAAAGGGGTTGGATCTAGAGGATCTAGTCTATAACTAGATGGGACGTGTGTGGATGGCTACCAGGGAAGCAGAAAGGGACAGAAACAGTTCTTGACATTGGATAATGAAACTGCTTCCTCCTCTAGGTTTCCCTAGTGGGCTTCCTCTTCCTATTGGGTTTATACATCTCATCTCTGGCCTCCTGTATGGGAGGCCTCTACGGAGCCCCCCGGATCCTACAGTGCATTGCGCAGGAGAAAGTGATTCCAGCACTGGCCTCCCTGGGGCAAGGGGTGAGTAACTCTTTCTTGGAGAAATGTACATTTTGTGGTGGACCTTTGTTGGCAAATAAATTTGATTAAAACTACTGGTCAAAATTATAAACCAGAGACACACTGCAGGGGAGGAGGAGGGAGAGGGGTGAGAGGGAGGGAGGGAGGGAGGAGCACAGGGGACTGTGGTGATGGTGCACGGGTGCCTTGGGGAAGGAAATTCTATGGGGACTCAATCTGAGGGGGTGGGGGGAAGCAAATATTGTCTAAAAAATGTAAAAAATGATAAATGTTAAGATAAAAAAATTTAAAAAAACAAACAAACAAACAAAAACTACTGGTCAAGTTTTCCAGGCTATGACTAATGAAGAGGCAGAGGTCATTTCTCTCACTCCTGTCCTCTGGGCTCAGTTGGACAAAGTATCTGTCAATTTCACAGCCACCCAGGACCCCTTCCAGCTTGGCCAGCTAGCCATCTTAGTAGCATCCTCAACACTGCTGCCCAAGAAAGGAAGTGCACATCCTTTAATAAAAATAAGTCCAAATTATATAATGTTATAAATCAGTGTTCTATCAAAAAATTATTTAAAAAAAAGAAAAATAGACGTTATCATAATTAGAAATTTTTTTTTAAAGATTTATTTATTTATTTATACAAGCACTGGGTACAGTCAGAAGCGCGGGAGGGTGAAGAATTCACCAGAGCCAGAGCGGGGAGCAGAGCAGGCAGAAGGACCGAAGTACACTGCTGAGGGGAGCAGCGGGCGGCAGGAGAGGTCTGCGCGCCATGCGGGACCCTCCTCTGGTGGCCGGGGAGCAGCCGGGGATCGAACCGGCGCCGCAGAGGCTGCGGGCAGCTTCGCAACCCAGCGCTCAACCGCTGCGCCACCGGGGAGGCCCCATAATTAGAGATTTTAACAATCCTCTCTTGCCAATAAATTAAACAAGTAAACAAAAATTTAATAAAGACATAAGCGATCTGAAAAACAACAAAAATAAATATATTCAAGGATCCTCCATGTTTCCCATAGAAGGAGGAATTTCTTGAGAAGGAGGGTAGCTGGTCCTCGTGGCGCTAACTCTCCTTGAGATCCACTTCCCTTCATGGTTGCTTTGTGATGATTTCCCACACCTCTGGTCTCTGGGCTCCCATTAATCACCATGACCCAAACATTAACTGGTATAGGATAACTTGACTGAGTCACTGAACAATCAAATAGAAGTTCCTAAACCTAGGGGAAGACGAGAGAGAAACAGAGAGAATCCCACTTACCATTATGGTTTGTAAACTACTTCAATTCTGGTGGAGTGGCACAGAGCCCGCCCCTACCTTCTTCCCAGACTCAGCTTCCCCCTCCTTTTGGGCAACAAAGTTGCAAGTCACCCTTAATTCCTTCTACTTTCATCCACTTTTTATCCACAGTCAACATGCATTGGTAGGAGCAATGGTTGTGGTCTCTGGTACATTTCATGTGGAATGACTTTTATTTTAATTACATTAATTTTTATTAGGTAATATGTACAGAGTTCAAAACTAAAAATGGTATAAAAAGTATTCACTGAGAAGTTTAGCTCCTATCATGAGTCTTTCTCTTTTTTTACCCACACCATTGCCTTATCTATCACTGTTCTTATTGCTTTATAATGAATCCTTCCATTGTCTATTTTTAACACAAAGATAGTGTTATACATACATTGCCCTACACCTTGCTTGTCTTCATTTAATATTAGTTGGAGATCTATCTTTTCATGTGGAAGTAGAAAGCCTTTCTTTCTCTCCCTCCCATTTTGTGGATGTATCTTAGTTCATTTACCAGTTCCCTATAGACTCGCCTTGGTGTGGCTTCCAGTAAATAGCACTATGAAGAATAATTTTGTGTATATTTATGTAGAATTTTGTATGTGTGCCAATACACCTATAGGATAAATGTTCATAACTGGGCTTGCTGGGTTAAATGCACTTTTAATTTTAATGAGTCTGCCAAAGCACCTTCCATGTGATTTGTATCATTTTAGCAGCAATGTATGAAAGTACCTATTTTCTTACAACCAGCACTACTGTTAGACTTGGGTCAAAATACCCTGTTTTATAGGACTCTGCTCTGCTCTTGGGATGGAATTTCATAAGGCAAGGGGACATGTCCGCCTGGATTCCTGACCCCCTTCTAGACCACAGTTCAGGTGTGCTGCACCCTACAATTCCCAGCCCACTTCCAGGAAGTGACTCTTTTCTGAGGCACATCCCAGGTTGTGGACCTGGAGTCCACATGTGGGTGGGAAGCCCCTCACAGTACAGTCGGGAAGAGAAGGAAGGTGGTCGGTGAGCTGGAGGCTGTGCATGGCCATTCTCCAGTAAAGAACTCAAGGATTTTATTTAACCTTGAGCCCGGCCCTCCCCATCATCCTGAATGTACGTTACCAAGGAAAGAGGATAGAACATATTTGATTGGGCAATTTGTTTAATTGATTGGCTTACAATTATACATATTTAGACATAGGGCACATGGACTGCCATTTGCCCTCTTGTCCTGGGCACCACTGTGCAGCTATGAGCCTGTCTGTAACTCACTGCCAAATGCAAATTTTTGTATAGTGAGAAATGGCTTTTTACTTGTGATTTTCTTTACTCTTGTTATAGATAAGGTTGAACATCTTTGCCTCTAAGTGTCATTATATTTTCCTGGGGTTGTTGGCCTTCTCAATTGCTAGAAGCTCTTTTCTTTGCTGGGGAGATTAACTCTTCGTGCTATGTTACAAATATTTTTTCTGGTTTGTCACTTGCCTTTTAATTTGGGAACTTATTTTTCCCCAAAGCTTTTTTTACATATAATTAAATTTTATTAGCATGTTTTCTTTTTGAATGGAACTTGAGAGAAGAAACTTTAAACATTTTAGAAGATCCATTCAACAATTTTGAGATATTCAGAAAAGGGCATCGAGCCAATATGAACAGCTTATAGAATGACTGTTACTGAACCTACGCCATGTACACTTATATAACACACACTTGTAATGTCATGGGTTGTAACCTTCTACCCAAGAACACGGGGAACTCCCAGATGCCCCCCTCCACATGCCCTCTCTGGGAAGTGCTCTATCCCTCCCTCTGTGGTTGTCACCTACTCTCTTGACTTCTGTGACATTAATGTTCTTGCTCTCTATGTGGTTTGCATGTTGACCAGCATTTTCTGAAAAAGGCCAGTCAGTCAATGTTGTGGGTTTTACACACCATATAGCCTCTTCACAACTATTCAACTCTGTGGTTACAGCTCAAAAGTAGCCACAGACAATATCTAGTGGCGTAGGTGTGGCTGTGTCCAATTTGTGTAGACATTGATATTTGAATTTCATGTAACTTTCATGTGTTGCAACATATTACTTCTCTTTTGATTTTTTTCTCCAACAGTTTAAAAGTACAAAACCATTCTTAGCTTGTGGGGATAAATAAGCAGATGGTAGCCAGATTTGGCCTGGGGGGGGGGTCGTAATTTGCCAACCCCTAGTTTACTTCCTCCATATGCATCTCTAAACAAAATAGTTTAATTCTGGCTGTTTTTAAACTTTATGTAAATGTGGCATGTCTGTTTAGTGCAGCATTATGTTTATGAGATTCATCCAAATTTCTGCTGTAGCAGCAGCTTGTCTATTATTATCCCTACATAGCATTTCCTCCTTTGCTACAATTCATGTACCATTCTGCTGCTGATGGACATTTGGGATTCTTCTGAACATTGCAGTAGACTGGTGCACACGAAGAGTCCCTCCAGATTAAATACCCATTAGTGGAATTGCTAAATTGTAAGGTATGTATAGCATCACTTATTAGACAGCACCATTCTCTTTATTAGTATTTAAATTTGTAGTTGTACTAATTTACACTCCTAACAGCATTGGATAAGCATCCTTATTCTTTTATATTCTTGCCAATACTTAATATTATCAGACTTAAATTTTTGCCAGTCTGCTGGGTGTTTAATGGTATCTCACTATGGTTGTAATTTGCATTCCCCTGATTACTAATGAGGTTGGGCATCTTTTCATATGTTTAGTAGACATTCTTTGGCTCATGTTTTTATTGGGCTGTCTGTTTTCTAATTTTTTGGTAGTGGTTCTTTGTATATTCTGGATACTCTTTGTTATATGTGTTGCAAATATCTTCTCCTATTATATGCCATCTTTTTTTTTTTAAGGTGTGTTCATATTTGACTGTTTTATCACTTTTCAATTCACCCTTATCACTGTCCTGATCTGGACTTCTAGCATGTCCTTCCACTTACCCAAGACCCTCCTTTTAAGTTCTCATTAATTTCTTTTTTAAAATTAATTTCTTTTTTTATTATTATTTTATTTTATATATTTTTTACTTCATTTTTCATTTTTGTACAATATATGCATTTTCATCTTGGTTATAGCCCCCGTGAAATTCCCACCCCCCCATTCACCCGTGTACCATCACCATGGTCCCTTGTGCTCTTCCCACACCCATCCCCTCCCCTGCAGAATGTCTCTGGTTTATAGTTGCCTGCTGATTTTGATTTTTGCTTTATTATAATTACTTTTTTTCCCCTGATAAGTTCTCATTAATTTCTGAATATTTGTTTTATTTTTTGTCATTTTATTATTGCGGTATGCTAAACAGCTGTAGCAAATATACCCCAAATGAATTCTCAATCACAGCAAAAGTATAGTTCTACTTTTGTGTGTGTGTGAATTTTACTCAAGTTCCAGGGGAGGTGTTTCAGCTGGGGCTCTTATCCTCAAATGCAAATGACTTTGCATTTTCAAAGTGTAACTTCTAAGATTGCCCTCTATTCCAACCTCAGGAAGTAAGGACAGAGCTGGAGGAACACTTGGGTGGTTTATAGATCAGATCTGAAAGTAGCTTACTTGCTTACCCCTCAGAGTTCTGGCAGTGTAAGAGGTGGGGCAGGGGTTAGATCCTGGAATACCCTGTGGGTAAAGCTGACCATATTTACTGATGGAGAATGGGTCAATGAGAAGAATCATCAAAAATTTCACTTGACTGAGCAAATAGACGGATTGAGGTTCCATTTTCTGAGGTGGAGAAGACTATAGAAGAGTAGATTTAAGGGTGGGAGATTGGGGAATCAACAATTTGGTTTTGGACATATTAGTTTTAAGAGCCTATCAGACATCAACCAGAAATGTTGAGTAAAGGGCTGGATATTTAAACTCGATTTCAGGATAATGTTTTAGTCTGGAGAGTCAAATTTTGGAATGAAGAACATAAAGTTCCAGCAGGAAAGCCTAAGAAGGAGCACACAGTGAGAAGGGAGAAAAATCAAGAGAAACTAGGTGACAGAAGACTTTCAAAGATGAGGGAGCAGTCAGGTGGGTCAAATGTAGTTTAAGGAGATGAGGACTGAGAAGAGAATGTTGCTTTTGGTCCAAGAACTTTGTCAGTGTCTCTGATGAATAGCTTCTGTGGATTGACAGATTATATGGAGTTAGCACATTTTTTCCCCACTCCTGTGTTCCTGAAGGTTATCAAACCCACTTCCATCAATAACAGATGTGTGTGTGTGTGTGTGTGTGTGTGGTGGGGTAGGTGGGTATGTGTGTGAGCATGTGTATATGTTTATGTTTCGTATCAGAATCTCCCACCTCAACCACCACCAAAGATTCTGCTTTGTCTTCAGGGTCTCCTGTCCTCTTAGACCATTTTTTTTTTTTTATTTTAAGATTTTTTTTTTTTAATTTATTTATACAAGAGCTGGGGTACAGGCCAGAGGCATGGGAAGGTGAAAGGATTCACCAAAGGCAGAGCAGGGAGCAGAACAGGCAGATGGACCAAACACACTGCTGAGGGAAGCAGCAGGTGAGACAGGAGAGGTTTGCCCCACCATGTGGGTATCTCCCTGGTCGTCCGGGAATCAAACCTGTGTTGCAGAGGCTGCAGACAGCTTCACAGTGCTGCACTCAACCTGCTGTGCCACTGGGGAGGCCAAACTTCTTAGACCATTTTCTAAGCCTGGAAAGAATCAACTTTACACGTATTTGATTTCCAAGGCTGATAGTAAAATCCCAAGAAAAACAAAAAGAGAAGTATTTGGGAAGTCCAAGTTCCATAGAATCACACTAGTATGATGACACTAATCCTAATTAATAACATAATACCAATACCTCTAATGACCAAGGTGTGCTCTCTGTATCAAACATTTTCTATGTATTAACTCTCCTCTCATAGTGGCCCTAGGGGTTGAATATTATTTCCTAAATTTGTAGACCAACGGTTACTAACATGCCGAGAGTCACATGGGAAAAGAGACTGCGCCATTATGCGTTGTTTATCATCTAACATGATTTCCATCTGAAATGTCAGTCCTGCATGTTATTTTGTTTCTGCAGAAAGGACCAAATAAAACACCCGTAGCTGCTATTTGTCTGACCAGCCTGGTGACCATGGCCTTTGTCCTTGTGGGTCAGGTGAATATTCTGGCTCCCATTGTCACCATCAACTTCATGCTGACGTATGTCGCAGTGGACTACTCTTACTTCTCCCTGTCCATGGGTCCCTGCAGCCTCCCACATGTGCCTCGTTCCATGCACAGAGAAGACACAGGAGTTCTCCACTGCTCCGAGCACCTGCTTTTGGAGAAGGTTCCCAGCTATGGCTCTGAGGGTCCTGCTCGAAACCTCTCTGAGGGCACTCTGCTGGAATTCACTAAGGACATGGACCAGCTCCTCCAGCTAACCAGGAAACATGAGAGTAGCCAGCCCAGACGAGTGGAGAGTGATGGGGTACTGGAGAGTCAGAAGGGAAAGCACAAGAAGGCCACCAAGCAAACATTACAAGATAGCTTCCTCTTGGACCTCAAGTCCTCTGCTTCTCCTCATGCTGAAGGCTCTGACCAGCTGCCCATTGCTTCTTGGGAGGAGCAGGAGTCCTGCTGGAACAAGCAGAGTTCTAGGAGTGAAAGGGCTCAGCCTAGGGGGGTATATGAAGAACCTGTTCCTGAGCTCAGTAACCAGTTAAGGCCAAGTGGAGAAGGTGAGTGCTTTGGAATCACATTGGGTGTAATCACACCTAATTTGGTGTAACTACCTTCCTGACCAGTTATCAAAACTCTCTTTCATGTCCTTAGGCAGTTTATTTTATGGCTGCATTTAAAATCCTCATTAATTTATTTGATATTTATTTTTAAAAGGTATTTAAATATTAGCTGAATTAGTAATTTTACTCTGTTATAGATAGTTAATTATAAACAGAAATTTCTTTTTTTATTTGTTCTTATTTCCAGAAGTTATGTTAATTTTTAAAATTTTTTATTTATATATTTTTTATGTCATTGTTCATTTTTTTTAATAATAAATTTTATTTTTATATTCCCCATACAATTGCAGCCCCCCCATTCTGACCCCAATCCCTCCCCTCCCACCCCCACCCCCCAAAAAGTGTCTCTGGTTCATAGTTTTTTGTTGATTTTGATTTTCACTTTCTTATAGTTATTCATTTTCCTGGTCCCTTATTTAAGTTTTCTAGATTCCTGCTATGAGTGAGACCATCCGGTATTTTTCTTTTTCTTTCTGGCTTATTTCGCTGAGCATGATCCCTTCCAGCGCCATCCATGTTGCTGCAAATTGCATGTGTTTATCTTTTTTGAATGCTGAGTAATATTCCATGGTATGTATGTACCACATCTTCTTGATCCAGTCATCTATTTTTGGGCATTTGGGCTGTTTCCAAAGCTTAGCTATTGTAAACAGTGCTGCTATAAACATAGGGGTGCAGGTGCTCTTTGGAATTGATGTTTCTGTGTCCTTTGGGTAAATACCTAGGAGTGGAATTGCTGGATCATATGGAAGCTCTATGTTTAGTAGGTCCAGAAATCTCCACACAGCTCTCCATAGTGGTTGGACCAGTTTGCACTCCCACCAACAGTGCAGGAGAGTTCCTTTTTCTCCACACCCTTGCCAACATTTGTTGTTGCTAGTTTTTTTAATATGTGCCATTCTCACTGGTGTAAGATGGTATCTCATGGTAGTTTTGATTTGCATTTCCCTGATTACAAGTAATGTTGAACATTTTTTCATATGCCTGTTGGCCATTTGCATTTCCTCTTCAGAGAAGTTTCTTTTTAGCTCTTCTGCCCATTTTTTGACTGGGTTATTTTCTTTGTTGTTGCTGAGTCTCATCAGCTCTTTGCAGATTTTTGTGATCAGTCCTTTATCATTAGTGTTGGGTGCAAAAATGTTCTCCCAGTCAGTGGGGTTTCTCTTTGTTTTTGTTATTGTCTCTTTTGCTGTGCAGAAGCTCTTTAATTTGATGTAGTCCCAGCTGTTTATCTTTGCCTTCACTATCACTGCTTTGGGTGATGTATCTGTAAAGATGTCTTTGATGTGCAAATCACGTAGTGTTTCACCTATATTTCCTTCTATATATTTTATGGTTTCAGGTCTTATGTCTAGTTCTTTAATCCATTTTGAGTTGATTTTTGTGTATGGTGTGAGGTAGTGGTCAAGCTTCATTCCTTTGCATGTAGCGACCCAGTTTTCCCAGCACCATTTATTGAACAAACTTTCTTTGCTCCAATGCATAGTCTTTGCTCCTTTGTCAAAGATTAGTGACCATAAATCTGTGGGTTTATTTCTGGATTTTCTATTCGATTCCATTGGTCTGTATGTCTGTTCTTGTTCCAATACCATGCAGTTTTGATGATTATGGCTTTGTAGTGTAGTTTGAAGTCTGGGAGTGTGATGCCTCCATTCCCTTCTTTCTTTTTCAGGAGAGCTTTGGCAATTCGGGGTTTTTTGTGATTCCATATGAATTTCATCAATAATTGTTCTATTTCTTTGAAGAATGACATTGAAATTTTGATTGGAATAGCATTGAATCTGTATATTGCTTTTGGTAGGATGACCATTTTAAAAATGTTTATTCTTCCAATCCATGAGCAGGGGATGTCTTTCCATTTCTTTGTGTCTTCTTCTATTTCTTTTAACAGTGTTTTATAGTTTTCTTTGTATAGGTCCTTTACCTCTTTTGTTAGATTTATTCCCAAATATTTGATTTTTTTTGTTTCAATAATAAAAGGGATGGTTTTTTTGATTTCTTCTTCTTCAGATTTATTGTTTGTGTATAGGAAGGCTACTGACTTTTGTGTGTTGATTTTGTATCCTGCCACTTTACTGAACTGATTGATGAGTTGAATTAGTTTTTCTGTGGAGTTTTTGGGGTTCTTTATGTATATTATCATATCATCTGCAAATAGTGATAGTTTGACTTCTTCTTTTCCTATTTGGATTCCTTGGATGTCTTTCTCTTGTCTTATTGCTCTGGCTAGGACTTCCAGTATTATATTGAAAAGCAGTGGTGAGAGTGGGCATCCTTGTCTTGTTCCAGATCTTAATGGAATTGCTTTCAGCTTTTCACCATTGAGGATGATACTGGCTGTTGGCTTGTCATAGATGGCCTTTATCATGTTGAGGTATGTTCCTTGTATCCCAAGAATTTCAAGGGCTTTTATCATGAATGGGTGTTGCACTTTGTCGAAAGCTTTCTCAGCATCTATTGATATTATCATATGGTTTTTATATTTCTTTTTGTTGATGTGTTGGATAACGTTGATTGATTTTCAGATGTTAAACCATCCTTGTGTCCCTGGAATGAATCCTACTTGGTCGTGGTGAATTATCTTATGGATACATTGTTGGATTCTGATAGCTAAAATTTTATTGAGGATTTTTGCATCAGTGTTCATTAGGGAGATTGGCCTGTAGTTTTCCTTTTTTGTGTTGTCCTTATTCGGTTTTGGTATTAGTGTAATGTTGGCTTCATAGAACGTGTTTGGTATTGTCTCTTCCTTCTCAATTTTTTGGAAGAGTTTGTGAAGGATAGGCACCAATTCATCTCTGAATGTTTGGTAGAATTCGTTTGTAAATCCATCAGGTCCTGGGCTTTTGTTTTTTGGGAGGTTTTTGATTACCATTTCAATTTCGCTGCTTGTAATTGGTCTGTTTAGGTGTTCTATTTCTTCTTTATCTAGCTTTGGGTGATTGTAGAGTTGTAGGAATTTGTCCATCTCCTCTAGATTGTTGAACTTGTTTCCATACAACTCTTCATAGTAGTTACTGATTATTCTTTTTATTTCTGTTGTGTCCGTTGTGATTTCTCCTCTTTCATTTCTGATCCTGTTTATTTGTGCTTTCTCCCTTTTTTCCTTTGTGAGCCAGGCTAGGGGTTTGTCTATTTTATTGATTTTTTCGAAGAACCAGCTCTTGGTTTCATTAATCTTTTGGATTGTTTTTTTTAGTTTCAATTTCATTTATTTCTGCTTTGGTTTTTATTATTTCTTTTCTTCTACTGGTTTTGGGGTTTTTTTGTTGTTCTTTTTCTAGATCTTTGAGCTTCGAGATTAGGTTGTTTCTTTGAGTTCTTTCTTGTTTCTTGATGTGAGCTTCTATTGCTATATATTTTCCTCTTATTACTGCTTTTGCTGCATCCCATACATTTAGGATATTGGTGTCCTCCTTGTCATTCAATTCAAAGAATTTTTTAATTTCCTCTTTGATCTCCTCATTAGTCCAGTGGTCTTCCAGTGGTGTGGTTTTTAGTCTCCATGAGGTAGGAAAGTTCCTTGCCTTCTTTTTATGGTTTATTTCTAGCTTGATGCCTTCATGGTCAGAAAAGATGGTTGGTATGATTTCAATCTTGGTGTATCTGTTGATGTTTGTCTTGTGCCCCAGTATGTGATCGATCCTGGAGAATGATCCGTGTGCGCTTGAGAAAAATGTGTGCTCCGTTTTTTGGGGGTTTAGTGTTCTATAGATGTCTGTTAAGCCCAAATGCTCTAGGTCCTTATTTAGAGCTTTAGTTTCTTTACTTATTTTTTGTCTTGTTGATCTATCCATTGTTGATAGTGGTGTGTTGAAGTCTCCCACTACATATGTGTTTTCTCTGATGTCTGTTTTCAGAGAGGACAACAGTTGTCTGATATATGTTGATGCTCCTTCGTTTGGTGAGTATATGTTAATGAGTGTTATTTCTTCTTGAAGTATTGTCCCCTTGATCATAATGTAGTGACCGTTGGGATCCCTTTTTATTTTTTTGAGTTTGAAATCTGTTTTATCTGATATAAGTATAGCTGTTCCTGCTTTCTTTTTTGGTCCATTTGCTTGTAGGATTGTTTTCCATCCTTTAACTTTGAGTCTATTTTTATCTTTTGTAGCTAAATGTGTTTCCTGGAGACAGCAAAAGGTTGGGTTTTGTTTCTTAATCCAGGCTGCAACTCTGTGTCTTTTTATTGAAGAGTTTAGTCCATTTACATTTAGGGTTAATATTGATATGTTAGCATCTGTATTTGCCATTGTGTTTGTCTTTCCTTTGATTTTATTTATTCTTTTAATATCTTTTTTTTTCCTTGCCTTCTTTCGTTGTTATTCGTCCCTCTGAGGTTCTGGCTTTAGGATTCCTTGTAGTATTTTTTGGAGTGGGAGTTTATTGGTAATGAAGTTCCATAGTTTCTGTTTGTCTGGGAAGGTCCTTATTCTTTCTTCATAGAGGAAGGAAAGCTTTGCAGGATAGAGTATTCTTGGTTGACATCTGTTTTCTTGGAGTCTGTTGACTATGTCCTTCCACTCTCTCCTTGCCCGTAGTGTTTCTTCAGAGAAGTCTGATGTCAGCCTGATTGGTTTTCCTTTGAATGTTATTTGTTTCTTCCCTCTTGTCAGCTTCATTATTTTTTCCTTGTCCTGGATTCTTGGGAGCTTCACTATTATGTGTCTTGCTGTATTTTTCCTTTCGTCATGGAAGTTTGGTGTTCTTCTTGCTTCTTGTATATCAATTTTCAGCTCCTTCTTCACATTTGGGAAGTTCTCTTCAATTATCTCCTGGAATATTTTCTCTGTTCCTATATCTCTCTCCTCTCCTTCTGGTATTCCTATAACTCTTATATTTCCTTTCCTCATGGTGTCAGATAGTTCCCGAAGTCTTTCTTCGTTCTTTTTCCTTCGTACTTCTCTTTCCTTTTCTGTTTTGGTTCTTTTTATTTC